AAATGGACCAAAAATTGACGTTTAGAGTGTGCTTCGTTAAGAACAGCCGTTTTTTTGCTTTTTTCAAGATAATTTTTAAAGGTTTATATCATGTAATTGATCTCACGAATTAACTATTTTAAAGTTCTTGCTACTAAGTAAAAAATTATCATAAATTTCGATAAAGAAAAACACATGTGTGTAAGTTAAAATAAATTTTCAAAGTTTCTTATTTTCCAAATCAAAACAATATAGAAATGAACTATATTGACACTGGACAAAAAAAAAACAGAATATGAATTTATGTAAATAGATAGAAAAAACAAACATTTTGTTAAATATTTATAGAGTCATAGACACTTTGCCTTAAATTAAGGCAAAAGCAAAAACAATAAAACTCATGTGAAGGTGTTTTTAGCAAATTTAAAATTTAATGTTTATTTACGTGTTTTTTTATATTTGAAAATATTAGCTAAACCGTTCTAGCATCTTTTTTTTTTTTGTGTGATTTAAATCGGATTTAGGTAATTGTTTGTAGGCGAAAATATCTCGTCATGATAAACATGTTTATTTAGCTTTATTATTTCTCTTTTTTGTAAAGTTTTTTTCGTTAAGGCAAATATATAGAAAAATGTGGGTTTCAGTGGGTGCCAAAATATACAAAAATGTATGAAATATGTTAAACCAGTTTTTTTGTTGATTTGCTTTTTTTCAAAAACTTATTTATGTATGTATGTTTTTTTAAATAGTTATTACTAGTTTTTTTATTTTTAATTTATGGTGCATTAATATTGTATCATTTTGCTTTAGTAGCATTTGTAAATAGAAATTTGTTTGATTTTCTACGAATTAGAAAAAAAGTGTTCAATGATCTTTGTTTTTACAGTGGGCCAACATTTTATAGGAATGATAATCATTTAAAATGTAAATTTGTTTTTACACTTTTGTTAGAATTTATATTTATTTCCTTTTAATTTAAACAATGTCTATAATTAATCATATTAAATATGATTTCATTTATTGGATTTTTTGTGCTTATTTTAATACGTCATACTTTTTTTAAAGCGAAATTAAAAAGAAACAAAATTTCAAGGACACAAGTGAGAAATATATCAAAAGCTATGATGTCAATTTATTTTTAATAAATTTAAGATGACAATTTTAAATTATTGTTAATTTTATAAATAACTAAAAGATTGAAAACTTTAACTGCAGTTAAATTTGTTTGTCACAAATAAAATTTTTAAGTGGATTTTGTCATGAACACTTTTTTGAGCATTAAATGAAAATATACATACATATATGTATACAGAGGGAAAAGGACATATACACCCCTGGTACCAAATTGACGTCAAAGAGTTTATAATTTTTCAATAACATCCGTTATCAAAGTATATACATACGTACAACAACACTATGTAATGTTGACAACGCAACGTTGTCTAAATCTAAATTTTATACACATCCGTTGTCTAAATGTTAACAAACGTGGTAAGCTCACTATTGGCAACGGATTGTTTGTCAGTGTTGTCGTACGTACAACGGATGGTACTGAAAAATTATAAACAGATTGGTGTCAATTTGATACCAGGCGTATTTCTTTTTCCCTCTGTGTATGTATGTAGTTAATTTTGTAAGGTTTTCAGAATTGAGACTAAAATATTCTCAAAAATGTGAACTACTGTATCGATTTCGATCAAAATCGGATTCGATTTTATACAAAGATTTCGTTCGTTATAAAATCTGATTTCAGTACGCTAAATTATTCATTTTAGCAACACCTACCCCTCCGTAAGCCAAAATCTTGTAGCTTCTTGTACATAAATAGATTGACGTTTGGACAACGATGTTTTATTGCCTCATTTTGACGAATATCAAGATTGTTAAAAGAAAATAAGTTTGATTGGGTTGGGTAATGATTTCGCGGTTTGATACCTCTTGATTATTTTCTTTCGGGCCTATGTGAAGTCATTGGTTTATGTTGATAAAACACCAAAAATTGATGATTTGTTCCTGTTATTTGTGGCATACGGCAAGCAATACTTGAAAACACTTTACTAAATGTAAACTCTTGCAGAAATCAGTACGGAAAATTGAACAGGGTACAACCTAGCCGAAACGCTAGCTTAACAATACTATCACTCTTTACTTCAGATCCATACATAGCTATTGAATTCGCTACTTGAAAGTCTGCTAAAAGCTCAGAAGGGATATGTAGATCCGAGATGAAAATTCCAATTTTCCTCTACCGATTTCCGGACGTATTTTATGTGCCATAAGTTGTAACGATTCCTTACAACCATGAGGAGAAACCTTGAGAAGTAACAACAGTTTCCCCATCATAACTTGAACATCGCAGGAATCATATTAATTTAAAAGCCATCGAATTAAAGACTTTCCGAAAGATAATTTGGACTTTGTCTTTAGTAGTAGCACAATTTTTTGACTTAGTCTATATATAGATATCATAAAAATCGGGGTCTGTGAGGCCCCTTCATAACCCCTGTAAACTTGAGAAGAAATAAACGTTGAAACGAAATGATCTCACGAATAATAGTAATTTCAAAACAATCGAATTGAAGTCTCTTCTAAAGATTTCTGTTGGACTTTGCTTTGGCTTCATATTAGAAATATCTTCATATTGAAAAATCGTATAAAACTTGGCAGAACGTCGAGTGACGTCTTTGACGAAGTAAAGAGCTGTACAAATAATCCAAAATCGAATCGTAGTGCATATAGCCGCTTGTTCTATTCTAAAAGACATATTCGGCGGTTTCAAAAACAATAGATTTTAGCTGCATGTGTTCACAACTAGCAAATGGTATTATCAGATGCCATTGGCATGATGTAGGGGTAAAAGAGAAGAATTTACTCAGAGAGTGCACTTAGCTACCTCTAAAATATAGTTGAGGGTTCCGACTAAGAATTCTCAGATGATAGTAACACTACCATTATACCAAATTCCAAAAAGGATGAAGTAGAGCAAATGGTGAAGAAGGTGAGTGAAAGCGGGAATTTCTGAACAGTTTCCCCAGATTTTGGGATTCAAAGTTCGGCAGAATTTCAGGAGATTTGCCATTCAGGGAACTCCTGTTTTAAATATCTAATATTCATACAATATATAACTATGTTTTGGTTAAAATTTCATATTGCTTTTCGATTTGGTTGAAGGAAATTAAAGTTGTCTGGAGAAACACGAAATCCGATAAAAAAATAACAATAATTATAATTTTAATGGAGGTGATATTTCCATAAGATTAAACAAAATTTATAAACAAATATTAAGTATTATTAATATTGGCATTTTGATGTAAACGAAATTGGCGTGATATTTGTTTTTGAAAATAACATACAATTAATTATGCTACCCTAAGGGGTTAATTCGATTTTTTTTCGAAATTCCATAATGTTATAGATTACTGCTGTTAGATATTTTTTCTAAAATTATGATTTTGCTGCTTATTTATTTTTCTTTTTCTGTCTGTTTTATAAACAACATTTTTTGCAGCATTAGAAGATTGTTGGGTTTTGCGGACTGGACTGTGTTTTTTTTTTTTTTTTTTTTGTTTAGATAAAATTGATAAAGAAAGACAGGTTTTATTTCATTGAATGTGTATGTATTTAAAAGTTAAAAAGTATTTTTTTTTTTGCATTAACAATTTTTTGTTTATTAAACTTGCTGGATGTTGTTTAGAGGAAATGCGAAATGTTTGCTGAGTATATGTACATATATTCTAATGTATTGTCCAAATAATGATGTCATACACTGTAAAAATTTCGCTGTTGTTTATTTCGATAATGTTATAGACAAAAAAAAAAAAAAAACACGTTAATGAGCAAAAAAAAAAAAGAAAAAATAATAAAAATAAATAATAATTGTAGAGCAAAAGTAATAAAACAAAAATGTGAAAAAACACTTTGTATAGTATTTAAATACATTAAAAAGTCAGGAATATTAAAAAAAATTTAATTATTCTACATTTATAAACGTACATACATACATATATTTATAAGTATAAATATTTTTCTTTGTAAAATAGTATGAGTGAGTGTTTGTCTTTTTTTCATTAATTTATATACAATTTTATTTTTGTTAATTTTTTTTTTTCAGTTTCTTTTTTGGCAAAGTTTAAAATTAGTTCACTGCCACTTGTAGCAAGAGATTTTGCTTCTTGTTATTTTATACAGACATCTGTACATACATACATATGTATGTATGTATATTATTTTATTTTCCTGTTAATTTTTTATGTTTTTTCTTGTTTAAATTAAATTAGAATAGAATCATGATTCATGCGGACTACGCATATTTAGTTTTTTGTTATTTTTTTTTTTTTTAATTATTTACACCCAAAATAAAAAAAAGTTTGTCGGGTTAAACCTACAGTTTTCTAATAGTTTTTTCAGACACGTTTGTCATTTGTTTTTATAGTCTCTTTAAACTATTACATACAGACACTATCAATTACTTTTTTAAAGTTTTCGACCGATGTATGATGTACATATGTATGTTTGTACATATTTTGTATTTCTTTAAAATTTTCTATATAATTACGCACTAGGTACTTGTTGTTTTATAGTTTTTTTTTTACAAAATATTTATAAAAAGTTTTATAATATACACTGGATGAGTTAAATATGATCATGATCATGCTCTGTGTGAAGGTAATAATGACGCTTACAGTGATGATGTTTAGTTAGTATGGCAAACACGTTTTATTTTTTTTTTTAATATTTGCTTCTATTATTTCAGTTTCTATTTCAAATTTCAAACGGCAAATAGTTTTGTTAAGTTTAACATTCAATACAACGGCAACGACTCTTTACAAAGGTACTCGCACCATAAGCCGTCTTTCTCTTTTCTTTATTAAAAAAAAAAGAAACAAATGTGCCAATTTTTGTTATTTTTATTATTAATTTTATCTTTTTTTTACTATTTCATTTCAATTAATTTAAATTTTTTTTGTTATAAATTTATTCGCTTCTTTATTAACATTTTGTCAAAATTTATTTTTACATACTTTTTTGTTTTTTAACCAAATGTGTTTGTTGTTGCTTCTTGCTATAGTTTTTTTTTTAATTTTTTTATTTTTGTATTTTGTTGTTTTTGTTTTACTCTATAAACAAATTCGTTTTGGCTATTTAAATGTAGCTCACTAGCGAAAAAAATTTTAAAAATTATATACCAAAAAAGCTTTTATTTCGTTTATATTCGTTTTAGAAAAATTTAGTTTTCTATGCGTGTTCGCGAGCACTATAACGCTCCAAAAGTCAGATCTATACTAACAATTGTTGTCGTCTCTTAAAGTTGTTAAAGCTAAGGCGCCTGCCACCAGCAATCTGCCAATTAGACAGACAGACAAAAATCTAGCTACGCAGACAGCTAGCTAAGAGATATTCATTCGAAATAGCAGGGATGTGAAAATGAGTTTGCGATCGTGCAAATTGTGTTATAGCGATCAGGTGGAATGTGTAGTTAGTTATTTTTTTAGTTAGCTAGTTAGATAGATAGATAGATAGATAGATAGATAGATAGATAGATAGATAGATAGATAGATAGATAGATAGATAGATAGATAGATAGATAGATAGATAGATAGATAGATAGATAGATAGATAGGTAGGTATGTAGATAGATAGATAGATAGATAGATAGATAGATAGATAGATAGATAGATAGATAGATAGATAGATAGATAGATAGATAGATAGATAGATAGATAGATAGATAGATAGATAGATAGATAGATAGATAGATGATAGAATAGATAGATAGATAGATAGATAGATAGATAGATAGATAGATAGATAGATAGATAGATAGATAGATAGATAGATAGATAGATAGATAGTTAGTTAGTTAGTAAGTTTAGTTAGTTAGTTAGTTAGTTAGTTAATTAGTTAGTTAGTTAGTTAGTTAGTTAGTTAGTTAGTTAGTTAGTTAGTTAGTTAGTTAGTTAGTTAGTTACTTAGTTAGTTAGTTAGTTAGTTAGTTAGTTAGTTAGTTAGTTAGTTAGTTAGTTAGTTAGTTAGTTAGTTAGTTAGTTAGTTAGTTAGTTAGTTAGTTAGTTAGTTAGTTAGTTAGTTAGTTAGTTAGTTAGTTAGTTAGTTAGTTAGTTAGTTAGTTAGTTAGTTAGTTAGTTAGTTAGTTAGTTAGTTAGTTATTTCGGCATCAGAAGCTTTATATAGAAAACTTTTCAACCTCAAAAGCTTTCTATAGAAAACTATTCTATAAACATTTTCAACATCGAAAGTTTGATATAAAAATATGAGCTTTATATAATTTTCGATATCAAATACTTTTTATAGCAAACTATTCGACATCAAAAGCATTATGTAGAAAATTATTCCATATTAAAAGCTTTTATAGAAAACTTTTCGAAAACACTAATTTTCTATAGAAACCTATTCAATAATTCCATTTTTCTGTAAAAAATAGTTCGATATCATAAGCTTTATATGTAAAACTATTAAATATCAAATGTTTTCTATAGAAAATTATTCCACATCAAAAGCTTTCTATAGAAAACTGATCGATATGGAAAGCTTTCTAAAAAAAATATTATTTATAGAGAGTTTACTATAGAAAATAGCTTGATATTGAAATTTTATCTGGCATTCGTAAATTTTTTTAAAACGTTTCATAGAAAATCGTTCAATATTGAATTTTAGAAAAAAATCATAAATTTCACATCCCTGCTAAAAAAAAAGACAGGCCAGTTGGTTGACTTTTTTAACACACACTATATACACACACGATTAGCAAAAATACAAACACACACATTAAGTATAAAATAAACAAAAAAAGTCATATATAGCTCTTTTGTTTACAGAGAACATATTCAATCCATAAGATACATACGATGAAATACTACAAAAAAAATGTATCTAATGACTCTTCTGTTGTTTTAACACTTGTTGTATTTACATTATGGATGCCAGCTTGTTTTTGTATTTCATCTCATAGGAAAATGTACAGACAAGAAAACAAAATAGCTTTTGTTTAATAAAAAAAAGCTTTTTGCTTAGGTTCTCTTTGAAAACAATTGATATTTTATAGATCTGTTAGTATTAATCTCTTATTAACGAAGAAACTCTTTGGAAAAAACCACTTTGCATTTGAATTTTATGATTTTTATTACAGCATGAAACTGTAATAATAAAATGTTTGAAAGCAAGATAAAACAAAAACGTATTGATTTCAATGCAGATGCAAAATTTTTATACGTGGGTGGTTATGAGGCAATGGCTGATTAACTGATTTTAACTAGAAAAATTCTATTGCAATTTAAATGCAGTAGTCAAATAAATTTGTGTATGTATATGGAATGTTTTAATTTAAAAGGTTTAAGTTTTGAAAGTGACTCACAATTTAGTATTGAATCAAAATTACACTAGTTTTTAAAACGAAATATTAATTTTAAAGATGTAAATACATATTTTAATGAAAATAACTTAAATTGTATTAAACAAAATAGTTAATTTTAAAAGAGACAGTTTAGCTACGAAAAAATTAAAAAGTTTTGATATGAATTTTAAGCTCGCCTTTTTAAAATTGTAATCTATGACAGCATACCGCTCGAAAAAGCTTAATTGAGTTCATATTAAACACTTTTTAGAAGCTGTTATTGATCTGCCTCTGTTAGTAAGTTTCAAAATTTACATATATGTAAAAAACCTTAGCAACATTAGACTTAGTAATAATCTAGAACGCATTAAGATCAAGAACATTGTTGTGATTCTAAAGTACTTCTGAAGAGTTTTAAATGAACTAGTTCTATGACACTCAGTTTCTATATTGATTCTACACTAGTTAAGTGGAACACTTATAAGTTCCTAAACAATTTGTGCCACTTAAAATAATATCAAGCAAAAATCATTGAAAAAAGACTTAGTTCCAGAACTATTCTGTAGAAAGTGTATATGTTGTGCAGAGATTTCTTAGAACTAGTTCCAATGATAACAAATTCGAACAAAAATCATTAAACTGGTTAAAATAAAGTTATATCCTTTGTAATATCTTCATCCTTCTTCGAGATATCTTAACATAACAACTAATCATAAAAAATATACCTATTGCCTTTATTTTACGCCAAAAACTTCATATGATGACATACATATTCGCAAGATTTCATCAGCAAAGATGTCTTTGCGTTGATATAATGGTCTTCTTTCAGTTTTTAGGACGATATCATAAAAAACCTGATGAGATGGAGAAATTCTGATGCCGGATTCGGATCTAGCGACGCTCAATCCTTTATAAATGGATACTTTAGTTTAAAAATTTGTTGTTTCATCCTACAGGCTCAGGACACTTGTCATACGGAGATGCTCATTCTAAAAAATCGTTTTAGCAAGTAATAAATATTTTATTTTATAAAATGAAGCCATTAATTAATAAATTTCCTTATTAAACTTAAAGTTGAACTTAATTATAAATTGATTTGATAACAATTTTTTTTAGATTTATTCAAGCTTAGAAGATTTTGGGAAGACATCTAAGGTTATACATCAGTAACACTACTTCCTCTTGATTTAAAGGGTTTTAAATTGCAAAGTTCTTGCTTTTAAACATTAAAAACACAATGTAAACAACAAAGTTCATAGTTCATGTAACTAAAATTTCTAACCCTAACATAAATAACAAACACAACATCTTTTGTTTTTTACTGACACCACACAGCCACCTGTGTTGTGCTGCATCAAGTTTTTTTTATTATTTATTTATAAAATATCTTTATTTATATTTAATTGAATAAAATGCATACGATACGTACGATTAAGAATACAAGTTAAATTTTAAACTAATCAAAAAAAGAAGAAGGAAAATTTAAATGTATAAAGTGCAAAATTAATTTCTGATTCTTTGTTGTGCGTCTGTGGTAAAATATTTGTTTAAGACAAAATTATTAAAGGGGGTGTGATAAACTAAGTGTAAAATGCGTTAAGGAAGTACACAATTTGGCCAATTAAAATTATTATAGCTAATTATTAGTTATACGAGATATTATGTTACATCAAACAGAGAAAAAAAAAAGGTGATAATTTTAGGCAAAAATTAAAAGTAGAACTTAATAAAAAATCTTATTAATTAACAGCTTCATAAAATGATATTTACGAATTTACATTAATTTTTTTAAAAAGAATGTAATAAAAATAAAAAGGAAAGAAAACATAAATTATGAAGGATGAAGTAACACGAACTTTTGTGTTTAATCCCAATGCAACAACAAATGTTGTTTAAAATCAATTTTGTCAAAATTTCTGTTACATTTGAAAAAACAAAAAGTCCCCACTGAGGAATAAAATTAAACCGAATAATAAGTGATAATAAAGATTTACATAAAATGAATAAGCTGCACTCTAGAAGCACTCCAGAATGACGACTTAATCCTTGGCGGGCACTTCAATGACACGGGGTTTGTCAATAATACGGGCAGTCTTGTTGCCCTTCTCAACAATACCGATGATCCAGGCTTGGTAGCCCTCTTGTTTTTCGATGTCTTTGCAGTAGGCTGCAGCTTGTTCACGTGGTAAGCAGATAAGGAGACCTCCAGAGGTTTCGGCTGAATGACCTTGTAAAAGTTGGAACATGTTACCACAGGCTTTGGCCACAGCAGCCATTTTTGAAATGACAGGAAGATTGTGAATGACAAAGGAGACATCCTTCTTTTGATGCGAGGCCAAGGTTTGAGCATGACCCAACAGACCAAAGCCAGTGATGTCAGTAGCACCATGAGCATTGTATTTATGCATAAGACGAGCAGCAACACGATTAAGACGAGCCATAGAGTTCATGGCACGATGATAGGCTTTGCGTACATCTTCTTCGGAAACAACCAGCTTAATGCGATTCCAACGTTCTGGCTGATCCAGCCACTGATGGGCGTTGACAGCCACCTGAGTACCCAAGGGTTTGGTCAAGACCAAAACATCACCCACCACAGCATTGTCGGGTACTATGTATTCATTGGGTTGGCAAATGGTAGAGGCCACTCCACCAATGGTACACCAGGGGTTGACCACACTTTGGCCACCAGTCACTGTAGTGCCAGCCTCGAGAGCAGAGTCCTTAAAGCCACGCATAATTAGAGGTATAACCACATCACGTTCCTTTTCGGTCATTTTGGTGCTGACCGCCAACAACATTAACATATTATCACAATCCGTAACACCCATGGCATATAAATCACTCAAAACGTTAGCACACGCTATTTTGCCCATCATGTAAGGGTCATCGACAATGGGATAGAAAAAGTCAGTGGTTTGTACTAAACACAGGCCACCATGGCGCAAAGGTATCACAGAACAATCTAGACCAATACCAATGCGTGGTATTGCCATATTCATAAATTGAGCATCTTGGTCTTGCAATGAATAATCTTGCTGTAAGGCTGAGACCAATTTACCCAATACCTCCTGGGGAACTTTGCAGCCGCGACCCTTGAGGTCGGCAAACCTTGTCAAACGGAATGTAGACTCCAAATCATGAGCCGTGGGGTCAAAGGGACGACGTAATTCAGCACCATTGCCACCTTGAAGTTCAAGATGAGCAGAATTCAATACATCGGCAGAGTAACTCATTGTTCGATTGTACTTTTTTTCCTCGTTTTTTTATTGAAACACACACTATATTAGTTTTGCACTTTTTCAATTGTTCTTTGTTTTTTATTGTAATTATTAGTTAATTAATTTTTTCTCTGTCTGATAAAATAATTTGAATTAGAAGTTGGTAATTTTTCTAACAGTTTGCAACTATTTTGTACAAAACTCAAATTAGTTATGGCGGCCGTATTGAACAAATTTCTTGTAGTAAGGCAAATAAAATCGCGTTCTCCCTTTGCACTAACACCATGCCACAAATCCGTACATGTATACGAATTTTTCTTCAACAATTGTCACAGTGTGCGAAGCGAGCTCGCTGATTGGTTGTTTAAGCAATGGCGGCACGAAACGGGAGCAAAGAATATTTCTCCCGCTTGTTTTTTACACTATACGTACACAACGGGTGGTGTTCATTACCCAAAGCGCAGGGTTGTATTTATAACTATAAAATAATCAAGCACAATAGTATTGTTAAATCACAATAGCTGCAGATAAATCACAATAACAGGGAATTGGTATAAAATGAATGTTGTTGCTCAAGAAAACAAGAAATTAATAATAAAGACTTTATTAACATAATTAAGTGTTTGGTAGCAAAGTTGTTTTATATAATTTTGTATTGTGTGTTTAAAGTAATAACATTATTTCTAATTTAATTCTTTGTTTTGAGTGTTTAAATAATATAGTTGTTGTTAAAACAATAAGAATTTGTTTATTTTAATTTTTATTGTTATTTTGTTTTGTATATTATTGTGAAAGTGAAATTATTGGCATATTATTAATTTTTTGTTGTTGTGGCAGTTTTATTTTTAATATAAATTACAAGTTTTGTTGCAATTTAATTACAATTTTGTTGTTTTGTTTATTCGTAGATTTTTTTTCGAAAACAAAAGATTCAAGCAACAAACCTGTTGCTAATAAGATAAAATGACTCAATAATTTTTTTTGAAGAACCACCACCGCTGCTCGACATCATTAGCCATTTAAGGTGTTTTATTTTGTTAACTGTATACGATAAGTTTCTAATAAGACTACTGTTGCTGCTGCCCTGTATTCGTCAACAATGTCTGCAGAAATTACCAATTCCGTAACCTTGAGATCTTTGTTGTTATTTATATTATCATTTACAACGTTCACGGAAGCAGTTTATGTTTATGGTGAACCAAAATATAAATGTCCAGCCAAGTGAGTTTTGTTTTATTTTTTTCTTATAGGCTTTTTAAAAGATTTCTTTTTTTTTAAGTATTTTTGTAAAATTTTGATTTTTTGCGCTAAATTTAAAATTTCTTAAATTAAAATTTTGTAAAATAAAATTTTTTTAGAAGATAATTGTTGAATTAACCCTTTAAGGCCCTGTAATCACTAACCACTAGTCTGGTCTATAGTCTAGTCTAGTCTATAGTCTAGTCTATAGTCTAGTCTATAGTCTATAGTCTAGTCTTAGTCTAGTCTATAGTCTAGTCTATAGTCTAGTCTATAGTCTAGTCTATAGTCTAGTCTATAGTCTAGTCTATAGTCTAGTCTATAGTCTAGTCTATAGTCTAGTCTATAGTCTAGTCTATAGTCTAGTCTATAGTCTAGTCTATAGTCTAGTCTATAGTCTAGTCTATAGTCTAGTCTATAGTCTAGTCTATAGTCTAGTCTATAGTCTAGTCTATAGTCTAGTCTATAGTCTGTCTATAGTCTAGTCTATAGTCTATCTATAGTCTATATAGTCTAGTCTATATCTAGTCTATAGTCTAGTCTATAGTCTAGTCTTTCAGTCTAGTCTAGTCTATGTCTAGTCTATAGTCTCTAGTCTAGTCAGTCTAGTCCATGTCTAGTCTATAGTCTATCTATAGTCTATCTATATTCTAGTCTATAGTCTAGTCTATAGTCTAGTCTATGTCTATCTAGTCTGTCTATATGTCTAGTCTAGTTATCTAGTCTATGTCTATATATTCTAGTCTATAGTCTAGTCATATAGTCTAGTCATCTATAGTCTAGTCTTAGTCTAGTCTAGTCTATAGTCTAGTCTATAGTCTAGTCTATAGTCTAGTCTTAGTCTAGTCTTCTGTCTATATCATCTGAGTCTAGTCTATAGTCTAGTCGTATAGTCTATCTATAGTCTATCTATAGTCTAGCTAGTCTAGTCTATAGTCTAGTCTATAGTCTAGTCTATAGTCTAGTCTATGTTCTAGTCTAGAGTCTAGTTTATAGTCTAGTCTATAGTCTAGTCTTTAGTCTAGTCTATAGTCTAGTCTATAGTCTAGTCTAGTCTAGTCTATAGTCTAGTCTATTAGTCTAGTCTCTAGTCTAGTCTAAGTCTAGTCTATAGTCTAGTCTATAGTCTAGTCTATTTAGTCTAGTCTATAGTCTAGTCTATTAGTCTAGTCTATAGTTCTAGTCTATAGTCTAGTCTATAGTCTAGTCTAAAGTCTAGTCTATAGTCTAGTCTAAAGTCTAGTCTATAGTCTAGTCTATAGTCTAGTCTATAGTCTAGTCTATAGTCTAGTCTATAGTCTAGTCTATAGTCTATTCTAGTCTATAGTCTAGTCTATAGTCTAGTCTATAGTCTAGTCTATAGTCTAGTCTATAGTCTAGTCTATAGTCTAGTCTATAGTCTAGTCTATAGTCTAGTCTATAGTCTAGTCTATAGTCTAGTCTATAGTCTAGTCTATAGTCTAGTCTATAGTCTAGTCTATAGTCTAGTCTATAGTCTAGTCTATAGTCTAGTCTATAGTCTAGTCTATAGTCTAGTCTATAGTCTAGTCTATAGTCTAGTCTATAGTCTAGTCTATAGTCTAGTCTAAAGTCTAGTCTATAGTCTAGTCTAGTCTATAGTCTAGTCTATAGTCTAGTCTATAGTCTAGTCTATAGTCTAGTCTATAGTCTAGTCTAAAGTCTAGTCTATAGTCTAGTCTATAGTAGTCTATAGGTCTATGTACTAGTAGTCGTCTAGTCTAAGTTAGTCTCGGTTATGCGAAGTTTTGTATGATGATTATTGTAAGAATTAAAATTTGCTCCCTAAACTAATGCTTTTCGATAATAAAGGACCTGAAAATTTTTTAATTTTTAAAATTTATTTTATTTTTTTCCTATAGTCTAGTCTATAGTCTAGTCTATAGGTCTAGGCTATAGTCTAGTCTATAGTCTAGTCTATAGTCTAGGCGATAGTCTAGTCTAATAGTCTGAGTCCTATAGTCTAGTCTATAGTCTAGTCTATAGTCTAGTCTATAGTCTAGTCTATAGTCTAGTCTATAGTCTAGTCTATAGTCTAGTCTATAGTCTAGTCTAAAGTCTAGTCTATAGTCTAGTCTAGTCTATAGTCTAGTCTATAGTCTAGTCTATAGTCTAGTCTATAGTCTAGTCTAAGTCTAGTCTAGTCTAGTCTAAAGTCTAGTCTATAGTCTAGTCTATAGTCTAGTCTATAGTCTAGTCTATAGTCTAGTCTATAGTCTAGTCTATAGTCTAGTCTGTAGTCTAGTCTATAGTCTAGTCTCGGTTATGCGAAGTTTTGTATAATTATTATTGTAAGAATTAAAATTTGCTCCTAAACTAATGCTTTTCGATAATAAAGGACTGAAAATTTTTTAATTTTTTAAAATTTATTTTATTTTTTTTACTTTTTCCAGACCCAAACTAATCTATCCCTGTCAGTGCCTTAAAGGTTCCGACATAGGCATCTATGTAACATGTGATAACACCAATTTGGCCACTTTATCGGTGGCTATGCTAAATTTAGCTGCCCTACAGTTGCCTGTGGAACATTTAACCATTAATAAGGGAAATTTTGGTAAGTTTTAGAATTAAATTTTTTGCCAAAGCCAATAATAAATAAAAACACTTTCAGAACGCATTTATGGTCCCATATTTTCAAAGGTTAAAATACGTTATTTAACAATATTGGATACACCACTAATGACTCTAGAGGATTATGTATTCTTTGGTGTGAATAAAACATTGGAACAATTGGAATTGATACATACAAATTTGTCGCAAATAACACCGTTATCATTTGGTGTAAGTAAACGATTTTTCCGATATGTTGGATAGACATTTCGGATACATTTTTGGCATATTCCAATACTGGAAAATCTGAATTTCAAAATATTGCAAAAATTTAAGAGTTTTTACTAAAATTGTTTTTAAACTTTCAGATACTGGGCAATTTAGTTAATTTACAAATTGATGGACACAATTTCACCAACTTAGACAAAAATCTATTTGTGGAACAATACATCTCGGGTCGTGTTGAGGTGATGCGCATAACAAACGGGCCTTTAAATGATGTACCCATAGAAGTTTTTCAGGTGTGTGAAAAATTTTGTATTTTTTATATATTTAATAAAATTTTTATTTAAAATCTTTATTGAAGCCTTTGCGTAAATTGAAAACTTTGGATCTACATGGCAATGCTATAGAAAACTTGAAACGTAATCAATTTAAAAATCTACGTGAATTGGAAGTTTTGGATATAAGTTTTAATAAAATCAAAAAACTAGAAGCTCAACATATTGCGGATCTAACTAAAATGGGCTGGTGTAATGTATCGCATAATGCTTTGACGGAATTATCACGTGGTACTTTTGCCCGTAACGCTGTATTAAAAGTTTTGAATCTATCACACAATAAGATACAACGTCTAGATGCCAATAGTTTTAGAGGCATGAGATTTTTAAGGTTAGTAAATCAAAAATTTATTTAAATTGTTACAATAATGTATAATTTCTTAATTTCAGACGCCTTTATATGAGCGACAATCGTATATCAGATGTGGGTCGTGGTACATTTGGTTCAGTGGCTCGTATTGGTACTATTGATTTGGCTCGTAATGCCTTAAAGAAAATTGAATTTCAAATGTTTTCTCAATTGAACTATATTGAAGTAAGTAAACCTTAAATTTATATCTACAATACTTTTAATTATACTTTTGTAATATCCTTAGATTTTGGATTTGGCGGAGAATAATATAACCCTTATAGAGAAAAACTCCTTTAAGGATATTTATCAGGCCCTTATAAATATATCACATAATGGTTTGGAGACCATACAACCTAAAGCTTTTGAAAATTGTGTTAATATTACGACTTTGGATTTATCGTTTAATAAATTGAAAAACTTTTCGAAAAATGTTTTCGATGAGACCACTTTTGCCACTAATTTCCAACTGAGTCATAATTTGCTCACCAGTTTGGCTCAGGTTAGTATTATGAAAATTCTATTAAAAGTAAATTAATAATTTATTTTAAATTTTTTAGATTCCTTTACAAAACATGACTGGTTTAAAGGTGTTAAATGCCTCGCATAATAATATCACCCAAATACCCAAAAATTCCTTTCCCAAACTTTATGAACTGCACACTATCGATGTCAGTCACAATAATATATCCACTATATTTAATGCCGTCTTTCAAAACTTATTTTCCTTACGTTCCATTGATCTTTCCTATAATAGTCTAGAGGAAATAAAATCCTCCATGTTTGGTACTCTGCCTACACTTTTGACTTTGAATTTAAGTCATAATAAATTAAATAATATTATACGTGGCGCCTTAGCCAAATTGACTAGTTTAAGATTTTTGAACTTAAATCATAATTTCTTAACGAAAATCTTTCAAATTCCTATATCTTTAAATGAATTGTATATGAGTGATAATAGAATTGAATCTATACCTCCGAATACTTGGCCGGTGATGAATTCTTTGATTTATTTGGATTTAAGTAAAAATCGTTTGGGCGATTCTCTGGAACAGCAAAGTTTTAAGGGCTTATTGGTATTGCAGAAATTATTGTTGCAAGAAAATGGTATTACCCGACCGCCATTGGAGTGTTTGGCGAGCATGTCGACATTGCAGTATTTGTATTTGCAGGTAAATTATTCACTAGAGAAATACACAGATATTGTTGGAGATCAGAATTTGATCGTATTTTTATATAAAAGAAGATTAGAAATACTCCCTTCCATATGTTTCATTTGAGGATTCAGAAAATGATATACTTTTAATAGAAAGAGAATCATTATCTGATCTCGTTTTTATATAAAGTGGATTGGTATCTCTTTAAAAGATAAAAAGATCTGAATTTCATCTCTTTAATATATAGAAAAGATGATCAGAATCTGTTTTATATAATCACAACAGATTTGATCTCTTTTCGGCATTAAATTCGAATGTGTATTCTATATATAAGGATATTTTAAATATAAAAATAACACATTTTCTATATAAAAAGAGAATCATAATCTGACCTCTAAAAAGAGAATCCGTACCACAAAGTGTATCAGAAACTTATATAATTTCTATATAAAAATAGGGTCATAACATAACCTCTCTATTCTATATAAATATAAGTTTGAAATCTAATCCGAAAACGAGAAAGAATTTAAGCTCTTCTCTATGTAAAAGAAGGATCGGAATCTTATCTCTTTTCTGTATAAACAGATCTTTTCCCGAGATGTAAAATGGGGATCAAAATGTGATCTCTTCTCTATATACAATGAAGATTAAATGAAGATCTCTTTTCTATATGGAACGAGTATAAGAATATGATCTCTTTTTTATATAAAAAGATTTTCAGAATGTGATTTCTTCAGATCAGAATCTGATATGTTTCTATATTGAATGTGGATCAGAATTTGTTCACTTTTCTATATAAAAAGAGGATCAGAACTACATAGATTTCAATGAAAAAGAGTTCAGAATCTGGTCTTTTTTCTATATTAAAAGAGGTTCAGAATCTCTATGTTTAAGATGATCAAAATCTGATATCTTTTCTATATGAAGGGTGGATCATAATCTCATATCTTTTCTATATAAAATGAGGATCAGAATCAGATATTCTTTTGATATATAATTTTGACTGGACTATTCTGAAATAATAATTTGTTTATTACTTTTTAGAACAACAACATTACAGTGTTGGAGAAGAATGCTTTTGGCAAATTGCCGGTATTATTTGAGTTAAATTTGCATGGAAATGGTGTAAAAGAAATCAAGTAAGTTTTAGTTAACATTTTGCAGTTTGTAGTGATCTAAAATATCTTTAATTCTATTTCTTTAGCAAACGATCATTTGAGGGTCTCTTGCAGCTGCTAAATTTGAATTTGTCATCCAATGTTTTACACAACATACCCACTGAAGCGTTCATAGGTTTGCCCTCTTTGCGTAAATTGGATTTATCTCATAATTTCATAACAAAACTGGATAATAAAACCCATGGTGTTCTCGATGATTTATTAAGTTTGGAAGATGTTAGTATCAAAGTTAAAACTGTAATATTATAAACTTTTTAACAAAATTTCTTTCTCCTTTACAGCTCAATTTAAGTTACAACAAAATAAGTTTTGTTACCAAAAAGACATTCCCCGAAAATCAATATATACCCTATAATCTGAAATATTTAGATTTGAGTTATAACCAAATGCCTGTCTTAACTTATGACATTACATTTGGCACTAAGAAGCTGTTGAAATTGAATTTATCCTATAACAGCATTAATGAATTGAGACGTGGGGTCTTGGGCAATTTTACACGTTTGCAATATATAGATCTTTCCAATAATGAATTGAGCAATTTACAGTCTGAAGATCATACGTTTGATTTGCCACAAAATTTAACCACCATTTTATTAAATAATAATCATATTTATAAATTAAATTTCACCAAATTCCTAAAGGAACCCAGATTTGAAACTATTGATCTGAGAAATAATAGTTTAACCGAGTTTCCTTTGTCATTAGTGTGGAATGTTAAAAATGGCACTGAGGTTAAATTTGCCGGTAATCCTTTGCATTGTAATTGTGCGGCCAGACCATTAAAACATTATCTCATGCAATTGGCCACCTTGAAGGAAGATTTTCGTGATATAGCCTGTGATACACCGGTATTTAATAGGGATCTTTATTTACAATATGTAGAGGATGAGACTTTACAATGTACTACGGATGAAGAAAGAGAAATGTATACCGGATTGGAATATGAAAAACTATCCGATGTGCTGTTTAGAGATATTATAGTGTAAGTTTGATAAAATTCCTATAAAATATTTGAAATTTTGATCATATTATCTTTTTACAGCAAAAACAATAATGTTAGCATACGTTGGTTTGTGGTAACCGCCCGTGATGTAGCCGATTTTCTAGTCTATATACGTGATCCCGATAATAATATTTTGTATCAAGAAGATTTTGATTATAATGTACGCAAGGCTGAAATACCCACATCGCTCTTTAAGACTCCTCAACCAATTGACAAAGAAATTTGTATAATTTCGAAAAATAGTAATGGTATTACTGGCAATTGGTTCCATGCTCAATGTGAAAAATTACCCGCTATTAAGGAGAAACGTAAATTTTTCTTCTTTTCTACTTCATCATCAAGTTCCAGTTCGGCCAAACCTTCCAGTTTGTTGAATAATGTTAGTAAAATGGTTGTGTTTTTGAATATATTATTGTTAACACTTAAAGTGTATTTGTTGTAAGTTTGTGGATAAATGTTGTTCAGATTAGTGGACATTTTGTAATAATACTCGTAATGAAATTTTGTAACTGCCATTAAGTACCTTTCATTTTGTATATAATTTAATAAAGTTTTATATTTAAAATTAAATTTGTTAATATTTCAACAACTCTATGAGTGATAACAGAATTAAAGTCCACGATAAATAGTTTTATATAGGTTAAAGTAAGAGGATACGAATCTGATCTCTTTTATATGAAAAGAGAACCTGGTAACTCTCTTCCTCTAAAAGCAGGTTGTAATCTGATGTCTTTTTACATAAAAAGAGTATCAGAATATCTTCCGTTTTTTATTACAAAGTATCAAATTCTTTTATATAATTAAAGAGGATCAGAATCCGATATATTTTCTATATGAAAAGATAATCATAATTCGATCTCCTTTCTAGCAGTAGCAGATCGATTTCTATAAGAAACGAAGATCATAATCAGATCTCTTTTCCATATGAAAATCGGATCATAATCTAATCACTTTTCTATACAAGGATCAGAATCCGATCTCATTCCTATATGAAAAGTGGAATGGAACATAATGTCTTTCTACGTGAAACGAGATTCAGAATCTGAAGTCCTTTTTATATGACAAATGGATCAGATTATTTTCTTTAAAAAACCAGGATCAGATCCCATACTTTTCTATCAGAGTCAGATTCATTTCTTTATGAAAAGAGGAACAGAATCAGAACACATTTCTTTACGAAAAAAGAATCCGATCGCTTACCAATATGTATCAGAATCTGATCTTCTTTTTATATGAAAAACGGTTCAGATTCCTTTCTATAAGTAACGAGTATCAGAATTCGATATATTTTCTATATATGAAAAAATGGACCATATTCTAATCGGATCTGGTTTCTATGAAAGTCATATTAATTTCTATAGGAAACAGGGATCAAAATATGATTTCTTATCTATATGAAAATCGGATCAGAATCCGATCATTTTTCTATATGAACCCGGATCAGATACCTTTCTATAAGAAATCCGATTTTATTCTAATATGAAAAGAGGACTAGAATCGAATATCTTTCTACATGAAAAGAGTGTCAGGATCTGATCTCTTTTTTATATGACAAAAGGATCAGATTAATTGCTATAAGAAACTAGAATCAGAATACGATCTATACACGAAAAGAGGATCTTAATTCGATCCTTTCATTTCTTCAGAATCGTTTAATTTCTTTAAGGAAGATGATTTCTTAAGGATCTTATACTTTTCTGTAGGAAACGAGGAATGTTTTCAGCAAGAAAAGAGGACTGGAATTAGATCTTTAATTCGATATGAGAATCAGAATCTGATCTCTTCTTTATAAGTATGATATTTGTTTCCATAAGAATCTAGTATCAGAATCTGAACTCCTTCCTATATGAAAAATGGACCATAATCTAAACTCAGTATCAAATCATTTACTATCAGAATCCTATCTCTGTTCTATATGAAAAGTTCATCATTATCCGATCTTTTTTCACAATAAAATGATTGGAATCTAATCAGCCTACGATTTTTTTTTTTGCAATAAGTATTAGAATATGATCTTTTTTAATAAGAAAAGGATTAGATTAGAGATTATCAGTTTCTTTTCTATAAGAAACGAGAATGAGAATGTATTATCTTTTCACAATTTGATCTCTTTTCTGTATGAATTGAGTTTTAAAATTTGCTTTCATTTCTACATGAAAAGAGAATTCAGATTCGATCTTTATTCTATAGAATGATGATCTTTACTATATAAAAAAATTACCAGATTTGTCTGTAAAAAGGGGATCAAAATCGGAACTCATTTCTATAAAAAGAGAAGCAGAATTTGAGCTCTTTTTAGAAAGAAACCTCTTTTCTAAAAAGAATCAATTGACGATTTTCTTATATAATAGTATGATTGCATTCTAATTTCGATCTCAAAATTTGGTTCCATGTGTTGATATTGAGATGATCTCTTGGTCTCAAAACTATTTTTCTTTTAATAAACTAAAATTACTCACCGTGTATTAGTGTTTAACATTTCCTCACCAAATAACCATTTCTGTCAAAATACGACGAAGCATGTGTTCAGGTGCAAAAAAGCTTTATTGTCTACACAGACACACACACGGCGAAATAACAAAAAAGCTCTTTATATTCGAATAACAGGACTTTAGTGCTCTCTCAATGAAAAAAACACACAGTTATTTTGTAATCGTTTTTATGTGTTTTTTCCTTGTGTGTCCTTACTATTGATTTTCAACCAGAAAAAGGCGAAAACGACAAGTTGAATAACAGTTGAAACACAATGAGAATGAATTGTCAGCTTTATTACTCGTGGGCCATCCGTAACGTATAGTTTAAGCAAAGAGGAACTAAAGGAATAACGACGCTTTCGATTAAATAATACACAATAAAATAGAGGTCCTTAAATGAAAAAGTTACATAAAAATATATAAAACACAGAAAAGTTATAAAAAAAATTATAAAAAAAGCAAATACTTTATTCAAAAAAAATTTAAAAATTATTTAATTTTAATTGAAAAATTAATAAATAAAAAGAGTTTAACTGATTAAGCCACAAGAAAAAAAAATGGGAAAAATTTATTAAAAGTTTAAAAAAAGTTAAAAACCTAAAAGCTTAATAAATGTATGGCTAAATAATAAAAAAATGCAAATTATTTAAGGAATTAAAACTTTAAAATTTTTCCTTTATTTATAACTTTAATTTTGGGGAAAAATGAGAGTAAAATTTTAGATAATTTTAATTCAAAAATTTATAAAAAAATACAGCAGCAAGTGTAAAAGTGAGTGTAACTACGGGTGTAGGTTTGTGTGTGTGTGTGTGAAAAATGAAATGAAAAGTTACATTTTTTTGTTCGTGTGTTTCTTTTTTTTCTTGAGGGTGAAAAATCGTTAAATGAAAAGTGAGTTTTTTTCAATGATGATGTTGGTGATGATGATGATGACGATGAAAAAAGGCACCTTGAAAGTGTTTTAAATAATTTTGAAAAAAAAAAAAAACGAAATAAACAAGTTAAGAAAACTACTTTAGATATTGGTAAAATATCTAGAGGTTACTACAGCTACTGCTAATACTAGAGTAAAAAAAAATATCCTTGATTTTGTTATTTTTTTGTTATTATATTTGTAGGTTTTTGTTTAAACAAAGGTTTAACCTTTTACATAAGTGTGTAACAAAAAAAAAAAAATGTTTCTATAAAAATAAAAAAATAAACAATTTTGTTTGTCCTTTAATAACAAAAGGTGTGTTGTGTCCTTTTTGTATTCGTCATATTGCTATTTAGTTCAGTTTATATACAATATTCTTTATTTAGTTTAATTTCTTTTTTTTTGTTGCTGTGATAAAATATATAAAAACGATGACGAACTCAATCAAATTTTGTATCGGCCACATTCAATAAAAACAGTAAGAAAGAAAAACAACAATAACAACAATAATAATAAAAGAGAATAAATTACATAATCAAACTACAACATTTACGTACTCTTTAAAGAAATTCTTACACGAAAAAAAAAACAACAGCAAAAACAAAAAGCAAATGAAAAATATTAAAGCATGAAGTAAGTAATCGATTCGCAAATAAAAAAGAAAACAGGAACAACAACCACAACAACAATAATAAAAATGACATCAAAGTAAAACAACAAAAAACTGAAAGGACTAAAGATGGAAAAAAAATTTTTGTAAAGAGAGAGAGAAAGTTTAACTAAAATTATCACTAAATGAAAAAAAAAAAACTTTTCTATATATAACAACAACTAGTATATACAAGTGTGTGTGTGTGTGTATGTAAGTTTAGGTACAATAAAAATATATTAATTATATAAAACATACACACACACATGTATGCACTCTAGCACATGAAAGATATTTAACAATTAAATTCAAACTACAACAACAATTATAAAAACAACAACTAAGAAATAAAAGAAAAAAAAAAAAAACTAGTGAATGTTTTAAATAATCTACAAAATTACATACATACACACTCACATTGTCAAAATATCATTCATATCTTTTTTCACATTCTCTTTATTCACCCACATTCTCTTTCTCGCACTCTATATCTTCTTACACCCGCTCACCAAATACCATCGTTACATGTCAGAGATAGTATGTCATGTATGAATGATAAGTTTTGAAGTAGTTACATTCACTTTTGCACTTTCTACTACTAGAACTACATATTTGCAAAAAACAAAGAAACAAAAACGCCCTCTTGTCATTAATCGAACTAATTGTCAGTTTGCGAAATATTCAAGATAAATTACTTAAAAAACGCCTACTATTTTTAGTAACTGAAAATGTTATAAAAAATGCGTAATCTGTGTTTAAATTTTGTAAAACTATTAAGTAATCACGATTCCAAGGTGAAGCGAAATAAACAGCTGATTGTTTTTTAATACTGAAAAATGTATAGCGGAACTATACAAAGTTTATATAAACAAAATATTATGACTTTGTCCGACTTCACCTTGACCAAACCTATTTGTTTTTAGAAGTTGAAAACAACTTAATTTTCTGTAATTTTTTTCCGACAAGGATGTAAATGAACTTCTGATTTCAATTGAATTTCCAAGAGTAAGTGTTGTAGAGCTTAAATTTTAAGCTTGGACCTCTTAGACCCATCGTAGGGGGAGTAGAAGTTCTGCAAAGTAAAACACCTAAAATGACTTAAAACGTTTTTGTCTTATTTCTTCCCGACAGGGAAATACATAAGAAACTTCTTAACGCTTAGTTTGATTTCAATAAGGTGTTGTGTTTGATTTCAATAAGGTGTTGTGGAACCTAAATTTTAAACTTGGACTTATTAGACCCACTTTAGTAGAGCCGCTAGGTCACCAAAGTAGTACCACCTTAGAAAATTTAGAAATGATCTAAAACATTTCTCTTTTGTTTTTCTAAAATGTCTTCCTTGGGTTTCTTATATATTAATAGATTTATGTATTTTCGAAAAGAAGACACAATTTCCTACACTTTAATATATAAAATGTTTACTTTATGTTTTCTATGTGTCAAATAAATGGCTTCAAAATTATCAACTCTCAGAAAATTTCATTATTTTGCAGATTTTGAATATTTTTTTCCCCAAAACTGTATTACCGACTACTGTATTATCA